GGCCTGGTCCTTTCAAAACTAGAAACTTAAGAGAAGTTGTACTATAAGCAGGGGACACAGCCATATTCCTTATACCCTCTGAATAATATTTGGAATTTTCATGAAGCTGAGACAGTTAACTGAACCAGAAAACATTTGTTCAAAACATGCTATTTCTTTAGAATTAGGTAGGAATTAACCAGTTAACCAGGAATCATACAAAGTTTCATTTTTATATTCTGTGTATTATATACAGTATATTCTATATTTTTCTGTATAAGCTGGTGAACTAGGTATATATTCAGCTCTATCAAAACCTAAGGCTAGACATGAAGATATTTTTATTTTTGTGATCTAAAATAATTTGAATTCTCCTGCAATCTCTTTATAGACTTTTTTTTTAAAAAAATTGTGCAGCAGATCATTGCCATCTTGTGGTCTTACCAAAACACTGCAGTTTATTTTGGGATTTTCTTTCAACTAATTTGCAAAGAGTTGCATGAGGTACTTAGAATAGAATAGAATAGAATAGAATAGAATAGAATAGAATAGAATAGAGCAGAGCTGGAAGGGACCTTGGAGGTCTTCTAGTCCAGCCCCTGCTCAAGCAGGAGAACCTATACCATCTCAGAGAAGTGACTGTCTAACCTCTTCTTAAAAATCTCCAGTGATGGAGCGCCCACAATTTCTGGGGGGGGGGGCAAGCTATTCCACTGGCTATGAGCAGCCCTGTAATTTATCTCCTTCAACACAGAAGATTTTTGATTACTTAAAATTAAGGTTTTAATTTTTTATTTCTTTTTAATTCTTTTCAATAGTTAGAAGGGAAAGAAGGGTTGAATCCTCTACTCATATGTCTATAAAGTGAGATAGAACTGTTGTGTCCTGAGCCTGCAGAAGCAGGCTCGGGACGTTGCAAGAGTCCCGGGCATTTGCAAAAGCTGCCCGGGACCAGACTGAGCGGCGCCGGCCTTGCGCACATGCGCAAGGCGGGAAAAGTCCGCCTTGTGGTTGGTTGGAATTGCCCGGGGATCAAAAGGTATAAATAGAGGCCTGCGTGCCTCTGCTCGGGTTGTTCGTAGATTGTAGTCAGAGAATAAAGACATGTTGGAAATACTTTGCTTCAAGCGCCATTATTCTCCAGACTTAACACTGGCGACGAGGGTGGGATCCAGTCTAGATAGCTAGGAAAGCTTGAAGACTCACCCAAAGAAGTCCGGAAGAGGAACGACCGGCGTTGAAGTCAGCGTCTATCCTGCCAGTACAGAATCGCTGGAGGGTGAGTGCAGCTGAAGAAAACCCTGTTCCTCGATCATGGCGAAAATTGGGCGTTTAGCGTAATTCGATGTCTCTAACCCCGAGAAGTGGGAATCTTACGTTGCAAGAGTAGAGACTTATTTCCGCGTAAATCAGATAAGGGAAGAAGGTCTAAAGGCTGCCACACTGTTGTGCATTTGTGGGCAAGACGCCTTTGAGATCGCCGAGAATCTAATCGCCCCGGCCTCGCTAGAAACTGTGTCATACTCCGATTTGAAGAAAGTTTTGAAAGAACACTTCCAGCCTAAGCAATCTGTCATTGCTTGGAGGCACACATTTGAACTGAGGGATCAGCGAGCTGGGGAATCAGCAAAAGAATATATTGCAGCTTTGAGAAGAGCAGCTAAACCGTGTGATTTCAAGGACTTAGAGGAAAGACTGTGTGATCTTTTTGTTTGCGGACTGAGGAATAGAGACTTACAGCAGAAGCTGTTTGCCAAGGAAGATGTCTCTTTCCAAGATGCTCTGCGAGAGGTTACAGCAGAGGAAGCTGCAGGTGGGGCAGTCAAGAATATGCGGCCTAGTCGAAGCGCTCCAGAGACCGCCACCATCCACAAGGAAGACGTGCGAGAGGATTCGGAAGAAGATCCTGAAGAAGAGGTGGACAAGCTTTACCAAGCAGCTGGGAGGAGGTCCAAAGATCGTCAGGACAAGGGCCCAGCTGAGCTTCGTTGCCTCGGATGCGGTGGTCACCACAAGTGAGCGGCTTGTCGGTTCCGTTCCGCCATTTGCCGAGCGTGCGGAAAGAAAGGCCACATCGCTGCGGTTTGCCTGGGTCGACAGAAGGTACAACCGAAGGAAGAATTGAATCTGAAAGGTACCAGGGTGCCCAGTCAAAACAGGGTGGGGTTCTGTGCAACACGCAGGAACATTTTAAGAATAGGCACACACAAACCCCTTAAAAAGAAATTATCCCTTAAAGTGGAATTGCAGGGAGTTCCATTGTCGATGGAACTTGACACGGGGTCTGCCCTATCCATAATTTCCCTCAACACATTTCACAAAATCTGCAGCAGCAGTGGCCAGCGAGTTTC